GCAGTTTGTTACATAGAACTATTGTTTCAGTCTGAAAAATTTTTCTTTATTCATGAGGTTTCTTGAGCATTGCTGGAAAAAAAGTTTTACTTTGATTTGCTATTACTTAATTGTTAATTGCACGCTTAGGAATTTTCTTTTTTAGTGGCTTTGATGCCTGTGTTTATTTTCGCCCTGTTGCACTGGTCAACTTTCACGATTCAGCTGTTGACCGTAAGTTTGCATATGCGTCTGTGTGACGGTGCACATCTGATCGCGTTTGTTTTTGACGGTAGTCTATTGGGAAAAGTGGCAGTTTCTTGTGTCGTAATCTCATTCGCTTCAACCAATCATATACTCAATCATTGCTTCAAGTCGTCTCGTTCTGTGAGATGTTTCTGATGCCTCTCGTCATCGTGATGGTCTTCAGGTATGTGATTTTTTTTCCAAAACGGGATAAAAATTATTTTTTATAATTTCAGTGGTCGTTGCAATCTGTTTATCCCCATAATTTACTACCGCTTTCTCACTCTTCGATACGTGTCCCGTCGAAATCCATACACCAGGCAAGTAGTTATCAGTAATTAATTCCGTTGTTGTTCACTTTGCTATCTTAACTCAATTTAACTCATTAATAAGGCTCGTGCTGCGGTACCGTGCCGTGGATGACTTGAAGCTATTACGTCTTCCGATTCAGTGTTTGTCACTGTACAGCGTTTCGACCGAATTGACATTGATCATCATCACAGATTGAAAAAAGTCTGTTTGGTCAGTTGTTGCTTGAATCGATTGGGAGGATGCTTCACCACCGACTAATTAAGCAGTCGACTCTTAAATGTCATTGGAATTAACGAATTGTTACAAGTCCTGTTTTTGCTCTCTGAAATATGAAGCGCCTCCTTGATTAACTTTCAAGCACTAATTGGCCAAGCGGTTGTTTTCCATTTTGTTCATTCTCTGATTATGACCGACATCAGTTCTAAACGTTATATAAATCACAGTTTATTTTTCGTGCTGCCAATTGCCAACTAAGAAATCAGAAGACCTCTCGAGTTTAACTCCGTTTTATTTATTTATCTTTTCGTGTGTATGCGTTACACTTATTACTGTTTAGCAGAAGGGTCCAGGCGAATTGCTACGTTTCAGACAACTTGTACATGTACCTTGCAACTTCTGCCATGACCAGTCCTAAACATCATGTTGTACCTACTCTACTATTTTACAGATCTGGCTACGCTACCCGTGTCTTTACAGGTTGTTCTGAAGTACAGCGGGGTGAATTCAGTGTTTACGGAAATTAACAGTTAATCAGGAACCTTTTTCCCACTATACAGATAGATTCTGGACCTCCAAGCAACAGACAAGCTAAATAGCTTCCCTCTGACCGTTGTCTAAATGAACCATTCTATTGCTAAAAGTTTTTTTGGTATGTTCGATCAGTTTTATCAATGTATCTGAGAGTAGGTAGTGCCAAAATTAAGTTGTGTTTAGATCACTCGAAAAAAATTCACTCAGCATTTTCTGTAAACCGATATGCAATTTTAATGTTGCATGTGCTACAAGCTGGCATGTTATTGCACTGGTATATCTTAAGCTTCTAATTCTACCCATGCTGTCGATAGAAAGTTAAATGCCTGGCCGCCTAAGGCAAATACTAGGTAATATTCGCTTCTAAGGACATGTATCTTGAGTAGGTGTAGAAACGTGGAAATGGAGACTGGTTCTCTTATTCAAATTTGGTCTGCATAAATCTTTCAATCCACCTGTGATTTTCTCAAGGGGAACCAAAACAGATTGTGCGGCCAACGTCGAGCAGCCAACAAAGAGCGAGACTGATACATGTTTTGCTCTAATAATGATTGCTGATGTGTGCTGTCGAAACACGTAGGCGAATACAAAATTTTAGAGTGTCCTCGTAGCTTAGTAGAGACGAACCCACAGGAAATATTTTGCTGCCTCAAATTTTGCACTGAAAACACCTGGTTTGCTGTCGAGACAGAAATACAGAGAGTTGCAAGATATACCTGTGGGTTATCCTGTCACTCCGATTGTTGCCAGCACATTCATGAAGAAGTTAAAACGGAAGCTCAATAATTATCCTTCTCAACTTAGTCGAGAGGCGTTGATGATACCTGTATAATAACGAAAAACAGCAATCTATCAGGTTTCTTCCAATATTTAAATACTGTTAGTCCATCGATCCACGAACAGCACAAATCATTTCCTCTTTAGATTGCAGAGTAAGTAAAAAACGGTGCATCACTTTAAACTTTAATTTGTCGCTAGCGTTCGCATATGTAACACTGCGTGAATTCGATTCTAACCGTCTGACATGCACTAAAGCTGCAGTTGTTGGTAGCTTGTTTGACAGAGTCTATGCGACTAACATCAGACCCAACAGAACTTTGATAAGAAATTCATCATGTGAAAATAGTTCAACGGACAATCAGGTAGTTGCAAAAGTTGATCAGAAAAGCAATAAAGAACCGGTAGTACATGACTGGTCGAACTGTTTACATTGCTTGTGTTTCCATCATTTTCCAATCGCTGAAACATGTGTTCGAAAAAAAGACCAACATCAGAACTGGTTTCAAATCGGACAAAAAATTAAGACCTCGATTGACGAATATAGACAAGAAAAATAGCACGAGAACGAAAAGAGCGATGTAATTTATTCCATAAATTACGTTGAATGAGAGCTGTTTTCAATTGGTCAGATTCACAGGTCGTTTAGAACAAAGATAATAGAGCAAGCGAGTTATCATTACCAACCCACGTCTCAAAGTGACGCTGGATGAAGAGCTAGGGATCGGCTCTTCACTATTCTACTACGCTCAGCGTCGCTTTTAACCAAACCACTGTAACAACTGTTGGCACCTGCAAACAACGCTTATTTGCCGAATCGCTCTTCATTCAGACAAGACTCAGTGTCATGAATAGGACTGAGGGCGTTTATATCTCTCCATTATGGCTAGACGTATCTAAACTTCTGACAAACAGAAAAAAACGATTTCGATCTTGATAATCTTTATCACCGTATAACTATATATTGTTTGCAGTTTACCAGCGACTTGTAACATCATCCGAAACCATGGTCCTAAGCTGAAAAGTTTTCCGTCATGTGTATTGTTAATGATGTTTTAATACCGTTATCATGAACCAACCCGCCGTGTCAAGTAGGCTGTTGATTGAACCATAATTCGAAAGATAAAGAATGTATAAAAGATAGAGGTCAATCTGCGATCACAGATGAATTATTCTTTTTCTGACGATATATTTTTCTTATTGAAAAGTTTTTGAAGGACATAATACAGGACACATCATATGCCGGGGAGATTTTGCTTATGCAGCGAATCAGGGTGGTGATTACAACTGCAAAGTACATTTTTCTTATGAGTAATCAAACGATAAAAGTGAGAAGAAGGCAAACTGAAACAAAATAAAATGCCCCTCTGCTAAACGAATAGATGCAAGGGACGATGCCATGTTGCGGTGCTACTCGGTGTAAAGGCTTATATCGGTCTTACACTACCGCAATATCGTTGTAAAGCAAAGGAAGAATCTCCTTTCTTTACACGGTATATTTTAGCCGTATAAATCCGGTATCATTATTTGAAATGTGGAAAAGAAATGTAGCGATGGAATGTCGATCTTTCTTACCCTTAAATGATGGGACTACTTCTAGAGTGCTTGTTTGATGCACGAAATTAAAAGGAAGTTGCTCAACTTTGGAATGCCGGTCTTCCTTCACTTTCATGATTGTACCTTTTGGCGTCCTTCTTTTCCTGTGGTCGATGGTACCGTGCAGACCTCCGTTTCTATGCTGTGAGCCATTGGTAGAGTCTAAAGCCAAGTGGCAAGCGTAGCAAGTAGTATCCTGTTTTCTTCCCGCAGAGGTTTACTCATTTATCAACCTCAGAAGCAAGAAGAGCGAGTTATTGGGGCTTTAACTCGGGACCTGTCGGTTTTGAATTTGATGCCCTACCCACTGACCACTTCCGGTCTGAAGCACTGTGTGGTAGATTCATTGCTCATGGGAATTCGTGAATAAGACAAGGATTGACCTCGAGCGAAATCTAACTCTCCCACCTCAAGTTTTAAAGGCGGACCTCTTAGACAAATGTGCCAACACCACATTTTTGCAGGAAGTTAATGGTAAGAGCGCTGATCTCATTTCCAGGTCCAGCGATGGGTACCTTATTTTTTAACAGCAGATTCGACATCAGCTATCCAATAAGTATAACTTCTATTCTAATATTTCCTTCCCACTCATATATCAGAGTGGTAGCCAGTTATCAACTGTGGAAATAAGAAGGATGCGTGAACCAGACCAAGACTAGAACTCGTAATCTCTCGGTTCAGAGTCCAACGCTCTATAGAACGAGTGACCCCGTCTGAGGCAACATGTCGTAAATTCCTTTCTGAAGGGAATTCCGTTAGAGTCGAGTTCGAAGCAGACCTCTCGCGCATTGTGCTATCCAAGCAAGCGAAACAAGCAGTGGCTGGCTTCAAGTATCATGATTTGACTGTCATTCCGAGTGTGACTTAGGTAACGACTGCGCATGTTCAGATTGGAAGGCAGACCGGTCATTTTTAAAGTTATGTTCCGAATAACTTTGTCGCATTAGAGAGTGAGGATTCACCCCTTCGTCTTCACAAAAGCCTTCATAAGTGAAAAGTCTTACTCTACGAATGCCATAACTTCATTCAGATGACCTTTGTTACAGTGCGTTCTTAATAGGTTTTTGCAGT